ATTGCCCGGACCCCGGGTGACAGTAAGAGTGGCCCGGTCCTGTGTGAAGGTGCACGCAACTGGGCCAGGCCGGGCCAGGCCTGCACCATGTGGCACAGGTGGCTGGGGCCATGCCATGCCTTAAGGAGCTCTGCCAGTAACAGGCCCCAAGAGCCCTGACAACCTCTGCTGCTGCATGGAGGGGTGGGGGCTATGTGCCATGCGGTGGGTGGGTGAAGGTCCCAGTGGCAGGGAACCCACCCCTCTCAAGCAGTCCCCCACACCCACAAACCCCACACTCCCAAACCACCCCCACAAACCTCCCACCCACATACCCAGCCACAAACCCCACACCCTCCCAACTTCTGCACAAGCCCCATACCCCATATCAAAGATGTAGTCTGGCATGCTGTATGTCAATGCACAGGGTGCCGTCTGTCTAAAAAGACTAAGAATCTATCTCAATGGGATGTCTACATGAGATGCTATGTCACCATAGCAACAGCAATGTAGCATCAGTGAGCATGAACTGTGATGCTGACACTACTGTGCAGTAGCAATGAGCTACTGTACAGTAGTGTCAAAAATTACCTGTGTGCTGCCAGGACTGCACAGTACCAGCAGTTACTGTATGGTCATTTGGTACTTGGTAAAGCAATCAGCAAATAGCTCATTCCTACTGCGCAGTAGTGTCAGTGTCATGGTTCATGCTCATCAATGCTACATTGCCATAACTACGGCAACATAACATCTCATGTAGATGTGCCCACTGAGATGGAGTCTTAGACAGATGGCGTCCTGTGTATTGACATACAGCATGCCAGACTACACTTTTGATGCATTTAGGGGTGGCTGAAATTATTAGCAAGTACTAAATGACTGCGCAATAACAACTCTACAGTTGGGTGCTCATTTAGACATGCCCAGTGTAATGTTTAGATTTGACTAAATATATGGCCCCAGTCACCTGCGACCCAGCACCACCTGCACCATTGTGCAGGCCTGGCCTGGCCTGGCCCGGCCCACCCCGGCACACTTGCATGCACCTTCACGCAGGACCAGGCCACTCATGCTGTCACCCCAGGTTCTGGCAGAAGTTAAGCGGAAGGCATTCAAAGGTGACTCTTTAAAGGTGCCAAATGAGTTAGTGTTAAAAGTGCCACCCTGCTCTACCTTCTTTCTGAATATGAGAATAGCCACATTTTCAGATAATTTCTTTTTGAGTAGCAGGTGCAGACATGTAGCATTCTGGTCAATATGTACCCCACAAATTTCAAAGGGACCACCTAATTATAGGGTAAAAGACTGAAGGTCATAGGATAGGACACCAAAGAATATGACCAAGATGACTACTTTCTTCTTGATTCATAAAACAATACAAGAACATACCTTGGGGAAAT